AGGCGGTTTAGGCTGCAGTGGTTGTAAGTGTGCCACTGCAATAGAGTGAGACTCCAACTCAAAATAAAATAAAAATTTCCTCCTAGGTTGTTAGGAATATACCCAACTTAATACATATAAAGCACTTACAACAGTTTCTAGCCCCTAGTAAACACTTAATCAGTGTGAACTCATTATTAGGTCAGGATCAGAATCTTTCACACTATGTAGTAGTATGGTTTATTGTGATGGTTCACTTAGGTGATTATGATTTTTTTTTTTTTTTTTTTGAGTTGGAGTCTCACTCTGTCACCCAGGCTGGAGCGCAATGGTACGCTAATGGCCACCTCAGTGTCATCCTGCTGGGCTCAGCCTTCCAAGTAGCTGGAACTACAGGCGCAAGCTACCACACTTGGCTAATTTTTTGACTTATTGTAGAGATGGGGTCTCGCCAAGTTGCCCAGGCTGTTCTTGAATCTGTGGGCTCAGGCAGTCCACTCACCTCGGCCTTCCAAAGTGCTGGGATTACAGGCTTGAGTCACTGTGCCCGGCCTATGATTATGATTTTCTAAAGGGCAGAGATGTCTAATGCATTTGTGTATTCCTTATGCCTCATATACATGATAGTCAGTAGGTATCGGTAAATATTTATTAAGCTAGTGGTAGAGTTATAGAAAGTAAATATATTGGATTTCTGATTCAGCCTTTCTTACTTTGTGTTTCACAGGAAAAAAGTCGCTGGTCAGAAAAGCAAGAAGAAAGTAGCTCTTGAAGACAAAAGTTAAAAATAGATTTTTAAAAAGACTCCCAGAAATGTAATTTTATGATTCCAGCATGAATGTTGTTTTCATGGAATACTTGAAATCTTACAGTCACCTGTACCAAACATTTGAAATCAACTACAAGCACATGGGACTTGTGAAAAATTATCTTAAACTATCAAGGCATCATGTCAGATTTCAATTTGAAGGTGACTTGTAAAGGAGTATGCAATGGAAATAACTTTTATTGTCATTTTTGTGGTTTGAATCCAGAAAGATACTTCTTATAGAACAAAAGTTTATGGTAAACATAACACTCAAATGTGAATTCAAGGATGTTTCCCTTCAAATGTGATATATACTGTGGAGAGGCATCTGGAACGGAATTTCAAAATAAAGCCTTGACCTTGAATGCCCTTTCTACCCCTGACACACTTTTGTTTGAGAGGGAGGTGGATTAGACACGAAACAGCACAGGCTATCTACCAAGAAGAGACCTGCTCTCTTTTTTTAAAATTTCTTAACTTGTCCTGGGAGGAAGTGACAAAAATTTTTTTTTAATTTATTGATGGTCTTTTATGGTGTAAACAACAACAAAGAGATGCCTCTCCTATGGCTGGTTATTCAAGTTACCTAGAAAGTAAAATTCATTCATCTCTTAAGTATCCTTACACCTCATTGGTAAGATAGCTCATTCTTTAGCCATTATAATCTTGCACTTATAAGATTGTGATCAGCCTCTCCCTTTCTTTCTTAATTTTCCATCATTTAACCTTGCTGTTTCCTGTCTCTTTCCATTTAAGTTGATTTTACTCGAAAACTGATAAACATTTTATCTGATAAGGAAGAATGTTCCTGTTACTTGATACACCCCTAGCTTCATTCTCTTACAGCTTATCTTTCCTGAGGCTTTATAGCCCTTCATCTATTTAGTAAGCAGGTCTCTGCCAAAGGGAAAGAATTCTGATCCTATAATGATGGACACTATTTGCTAATAAGTAGATTTTTTTTCCCTCAATTGCTAGTGGAATTGTTTCACTTCATACATCTAAGGTACTTAGAATGGTGCCTTAGAATGACATGTATGTTATCAATACTACCACAAAACGATTACATAGATAACTTTTCTCAACAGCATTTGAATTAAACATATATATTTCTTTTATACTTTGCTTTTTATTCTAAAGTCAGGACTGGTAGATTCTCTCTTGAATATTTTATTTCATGTATTTCTGTATTTATTTATTTATAGTCAGAGTCTCTGTTGCCCAGGTTGGAGTGCAGTGGCACAATCATGGCTGCTGTAGCCTCAACATGCTGGGCTCAGGCAGTCCTTCCACCTCAGCCTTCCAAGTAGCTGGGACAGGTGCACGCCACCATGCCCGGCTAATTTTTTTTATTTATTGTAGAGATGAGACCTTGCCATGGTGTCTAGGCTGGTCTTGAACTCATGGGGTGAGGCAATCCTCTCACCTCAGCCTCCCAAAGTACTGGGATTACAGGCATGAGCCACCATGCCTGGCCTGTCTTGAATATTTTCAATAGGACAAAAATTATTCATCTTCAGAATTCATTTAAATAAATACCTTTTGCTACAAGGTGTTAAAAATTATTGTAAGAACATGTTTATTCTTGCAAATTGATCCTTGACTCAATATATAATCTTGAGGTAGGTATACTGGTGCAACCTATTTGCCTGCTGTGTGGTTTTGTATAGGTTCTTGATTTCTCAGATCTTCAGTTTTTCATCTAGGAAACTATCTATGCATCAGGGTGGGAAGTACATAGCACTCTGCCTGGCACACAGTAAACTCACAACAAATATTCCTTTAGCAAACACTATAAATTTTGTTAGGAATACAAGGTTTGATAACATAGTCCCTGTCTTCACAATGTAATGGTGGAAAGAAGGTAAAGGAACAAATAACAGTCATGTGCCTCTTACTGACAGGAATTCTTTCTGAGAAATTAATTGTTAGGCAATTTCGTCATTATGTGAACATCACAGAATGCACTTACACAATCCGCCAGATGCTACTCATAGTACTGTCTGCTACACACCTAGGCTAAATGGTATAGCCTATTGCTCCTGGTCTACAAACCTGCATGGCATGTTACTGTCCTGAATACTCTAGAAAATTATAACACAATGCTAAGTATTTGTGTATCTAAACATAGAAAAGGTACAGTAGAAATATGGAATAAGAGAGATAAAATGGTACACTTATATAGGACACTTACCATAAATGGAACTTGGAGGACTGGAAGTTACTCTGGGTGAGTCAGTGGATGCTGAGTGACTATGAAGGCCTAGGACATTACTGTAGACTTTAGAAACACTGCACTTAGGCTATACTAAGTTTGTTAAAAATGTTTCACTCAATTTTAGCTTACTATAACATTTTTCACTTTATAAGCTCTAACAGTTTTTAATTTTTTGACTTTTGTAATAACAGCTTAAAAGACATTGTACAGTTTTACCAAAAACATTTTCTTTATATCTGTATTCTATAAACTTTTTCCATTTTGAAATTTCTAAATTATTTTTTTACTTTTTAAACTTTGTTATTAAAAACTAAGACACATTCACCTAGGCCTACATAGGGTCAGGATCACTGCCTTCCACCTACCTCCATGTCTTGTCTCACCATTGTATACACTGTTTGTAGTTAGCTGAAATGTCATTATGCAACACATAACTATAGTCTGGCAAGTGCTCTCTTAGATGTAAGACCATGACACTGAAGTATCATAGGAGAGCATCTAACTCAGATTGGGGATGTCATGGAAGGCTGACATCCTGAGTTGAGTCCTGCAGGTACAGAAATCAATGGGCAAAGAAGAGGAGAAAAGTATTCCAAGCTCCAGATCACATCTATAATCCTTGATTTTACTTTATTTTATCTTTTTTAGTATTTTCTATGTAACCACCTATTCATAAATAGTCTATAGAAACCTGTATCAACATGGTTTGTCAATGTATTAATACTAAATTTAAAGCTTTTAAAGTAGTTGGAACTATCTGCTACATAAATTTTATTTTCTCCCAAGGAAGGGGAGGAGTGAAATAAATGAATCGAAAGCTACAAGCCAGGCGTGGTGACTCATGCCTGTGATCCCAGCACTTCGGGAGGCAGAGGAAAGAGGATTGCCTGAGTCCACAGGTTCGAGACCCGCCTGGTAACTTGGTGCACTCTCTTCTCTATAATAAATCAAAAAATTAGCTGGGTGTGGTGGTGCGGGCCTGGTTCCAGCTATTTGGGATGCTGAGGTGGAAGGATTGCCTGAGCCCAGCAGGTCGAGGCTGCAGTGGCCATGAGCCTGCCACTGCACTCCAGCCTGGGCGACAGAGTGAGACTCTGACTCTTAAAAATAAAAATGAAAGAACACAAATAATTGAGTAGCTGGCGCTAATGAACTGAGCAAGGACTTTGGAATCAAACTGACCTGGATTTGAATCCTGGATCTGCTGCTTGTAGCTGCACGATCTGGACAAATAACTAACTCTTTAATCCTTGATTTTTCTCATCTGTAAAATGCCAGTAATAACTCTTAAGGACACCGAGGATTTTTTTTAAAACGCACGTAAACGTCCTGACAACTGATCTGTGCCCAGTAAGTGATAGCATTACAAACTGTTTTCCAGTGAAAGCCTGAAGTGAGAGTGAAAAATAAAGCTAGTTATAATTAATCCGGGGCTCAGGCAATGCTCCCGACTCAACCTCCCAGGGCGCTGGGATTACAAATGTGAGCCACCAAGCCTGGCCAGAGTAGTGCACCTTTGAGGTTTTTAATGTGGATTGGATTATGTGCTCTTGGTTTACTAAAATAAAATTTAAATACCTTCAGCGTCTGAGACTGGCGCCAAAAAGAAGCCACGGAGTTCCGGGGAAAGGGGAAAGAGCTGATCACCGATCAGTGCTGTGAAGCTATCAAAGGGGCATTCAGGACCCATCTATTCCTCGTGCATAAACAGTAACAATAAAAGAACACCTGTGTACCCACCATCCAGTTTAAAAATCAGGACTCAACCTGCTCTTTTCCACTGGCCGAGATGATGGTTTGCAAACCGAAGAACAACAGCGCCTTGTCCCTGGGCCGGCACTGGGTGCTCCAGAGGGCCTTGCCAGACAGCGAATCAGCACCATTGGAGGGACGCCCGCTCCACCAGCACCAAAACTGGAATTGCACCTGCAGGATCCCGAGCGGCGCTGGGGTCACGTGACGAGGGCGCACCGCCCCTTCCCCGCTGGTTGAAGGAGTCACGTGGGCGTACGGCCCCGCCCAGGCGCCGGGTCCGCGGCGAGGTGGGGCCTGGCGTTTGCCCCGGAAGTGGCTGTCTTCGGCTGACAGCTGCTGGTAAGGTGGCGGTGGCGGCGGCAGAGGCGGTGGCAGGCCCGGAGCAAGATGGCGCTGCGGCCGGGAACGGGTTCTGGCGGCGGCGGGGCCGCGGGAGCCGGCGCGGGGGCCGCGGGAGGAGGCAGGTGGGTGTGAATGGCCGGCTCGGAGCCCGGGGGTCGCACCTTGACCTCCGCCGCCTACCCAGGGGTAGCCTCCCGGCGGCGAGGGGTACTTGGTGATTATGGCGGTTTTCGCCAGCTCCGACCCTTTTCCTTGGAACTGGGCTGCGGGAGAAGGGGCGTTCTCCTGGGACCCAGGCGGAAGGAGGCGGGTGGAGCCCGGGCGCCCGACGCCTGTGTTCTAGGCTCAGGGGCACCGGGTGCCTGGGGTCGAGCGGGAGGAGGCGTTGAGGGTCCGCTCGGCGGGGCTGGGCCAGTGGGGGTCCCGACTCCTCGCTTCTAGTCCTGGCTGCATCTGAAGCCACCAGGGTCTTGTCTTTCCTAGGGCTTTCGGGGCTTGACCTGAGATGTTGGAGGGAAGGCTCTGAAAATCTGGTCATAAACCTGGAGGAACTATTTCCAAGGGGTGTGTGTGTACCACTTGTCTCTTCCCTCTTTAGTGTGTCCTGTCCTCTCATTCATTTATTTATTTATTTTCATTTGACATTCAAGTCATTTATTTTCTTAACACACGACAAACAGGAAAATCTGAAGACCTTTGTATTAGTAGTTGCCTTGAGATAGAGCTTTTGCCATGTAGATGCCAACTCTAAAGACTTGTCTAGCTCCTCTTTCAAAAGGCATTTTAAAACAAAGAAAATTCACTGTTAGGCGTCAGTCACGCATTTATTAGAACAAAGCTTCCAGACTAGCAACCCTTAGACAACCTACCCTCTGTTGTATTTCAGCTGATAATTACCTGTGCTTCTTATACCCAGAAGAGTAAGGGAGATGTCCATTTGCAATTTAACAATTTCATTCTCATTTAAGGAAATATTTTATTAGGAAGTTATCACCCCACTTCTGAAATGACTTAGTCTGATTTTGTTTGATTAGCCAACACATACAGCACACACATTTGGAGATAAAATTAGCTTTTTATCTTTGGCATCATAAAGTATCTTTGGTAAATGAAGTGTTAGTTTTTTTTTTAACATGCAGTGCTTTAATTTTGGAGTCATGAACACTGCAAAAATGTCAGGTCTTTAAAGCTATCACCTCTTGCAGGTGCTTGTGTATATGATAGGACACAAGAGCAACTGCTGTTCAATAAACCACCTGTTTGCAGCCCCGTTTTCACTTCTGCACATCTTTGACCTTAAAACTTTTTGCTTTCTCTTTTTTGTTGTCTTTACTCTTTCATTAGAAGTTTTTTTTTTTTTAATGAGTACTTGGTATAAATCAGTTTCTGGCTGGAGATGAAAAATATGTAATAATGTCTTCTATATTTCCTTTTTTATATGTGATGACTGTTCCTAATGTGTTCCTTAGTAGCATTAATTTGATCAAGTATGTTATTAACCATGGCACCAAGTTCTAGGAAAATATAAACTTAGAAGAATTTGATATTCTAGGCCCAAATTTTATTGACTTAAAAAAAAGTGTTTTTGGTGGAAGAGGACATCAAGTGCAGAAAGTTAAGTGGATCGTTCCCTTTACTTTATATTTTAATATTATTGGTCCATGGACACAAATTTTTTATAAACATGGCTTGAATTTTAATAGAAATTAAAATGATTGATTTTACAATTTGGCTCTGTAAATGTAGTGACATCTGTATTCTAAAACTCTAGAGGGCCAGGCACAGTGGCTCATGCTTAAAATTCCAGCACTTTGGAAGGCTGAGGTAGGAGGACTGCCCAGAAGTGCAAGACCAGCGAGACCCCATCTCTACAGAACAAACAAATAAATAGTTAGCAAGGTGTGGTGGTACACACCTTGGGGCTGGGGCTGGGCCAGTGGGGGTCCCGACTACTTGGGAGGCTGAGGCAGAAGATTCTTCTGAGCCCAGGGATTGAGGCTGCAGTAAGTCATGATCCTAGTGACTGCACTCCTGCCTGGGTGACAGGGTGAAACCCCAACTCAAAAAAACCCAAAAAAACCCTCTGGAGGATTATGTAGGAGAGGAGAGAAAAGCGACTAAAATGTTCCTTGCCTTGAAATGCATATAGTACATATGTTGTATACAGTGGAAACTTTCAATAGCTGAGACACTGAATGCTCAATTTAAAAAGAGTCTTATGGCTTTTAGAGGGTAATGGTAAAGGATTAGGTTATTTAATTTAATTTAATTTATTTATTTATTTTGAGTTGGAGTCTCACTCTGTCACCCAGACTGGAGTGCAGTGGCCGCTCCCAGCCACCGCAGCCTCAACCTGCTGGGCTCCGGCGATCCTTCCGCCTCAGCCTTCCAAGTAGCTGGAACTACAGGTGCATGCTACCACTCCCGGCTCATTTTGATTTATTGTAGAGATGAGGTCTCACCAAGTTGGCCAGGCGGGTCTCGAACCCACGGGCTCAGGCAATCTACTCACCTCAGCCTCCCAAAGGCGCGGGATTACAGGCTGAGCCACCGAGCCTGGCTATGATGAAGTTATTTTATAAGGAAACTAACATGATGGAAACCTAAGTGTAATTTAGGGACAAGAAACATGCAACTTCTCTAAGCTTTTAATGGAGAAAATACATAAACCAAAACTGACCATATTTCTTAGGTACTTCTCTTAACTCTAAGAAATTAGGCAAAATGCAAGGCATTTTCCAATTTAATATTAGCCTGCTTTTGATTGGTAGCCTGAATGGGCCACTTTAGAATAAATGGTACACTTGTATAAAGGGCAGCATTTGCCCAAGAGATGAGAAATGTTAAGGTTTTTTTTTTTAGTCAAGTAAGGCAGAAAAAAAGAGTTGAAAGATATGATTAGTCTATAATCATTAAGCTAGTAGTCATTGAATACCTACATGTGTAAGGTGCTGTCATTGATGCAGCAATGAATTAAAAAGAAATAACCTTCATCCTCAGAGACTGCACAAAATAACTGAGGTACAAAGTAAAGGAGCCAGGCATACTGGCTCATGTCTGCAATCCCCGCACTTTGGGTTGAGGCAAGAGAATTGTCTGAGCCCAAGGGTTCGAGATCAGCTTGGGCAACTTGGCGAGACCTTGTCTCTACAATAAATGAAAAAATTAGCCAGATATGGTGGCACAAGCCTGTGGTTCCAGTTACTTGGAAGGCTGAGGTGGAAGGATTGCCTGAGCTCAGTAGGTCAAGGCTGGGGTAGCTGTGAGCATGCCACTGCACTTCAGCCTGGGACTCCAAAACAAAAAAGCAAAGTAAAGGAGAACAGAGAGATTACATCTTTCTGGGATGTTATTATTTGTGAGCATATCTTTTTTTTTTTTCCTGCTCTTTTTATAAGCTCTTTGAGGAATTCCTCATGTTTCATCTTCCACTTTTAGCACATTTTTGCACATAGAAAATATTCTGAGTTGGGCTCGGTGGCTCAGCTCGTAACCCCTCGCTTTGGGAGGCTGAGGTGAGTGGATTGCCTGAGCCCGCGGGTTCAAGGCCCGCCTGGGTAACTTGGCGAGACCTCATCTCTACAATAAATCAAAACATGAGTCGGGCGTGGTAGCGCACGCCTGTAGTTCCAGCTACTTGGAAGGCTGAGGCGGAGGGATTGCCGAGCCCAGCAGGTTGAGGCTACGGTGGCCGGGAGTGGCCACTGTACTCCAGTCTGGGTGACAGAGTGAGACTCCAACTCAGAAAAAAAAAATTCTGTAAAAACATTTGTGAATTCTAGCTACATAGAAGGCAAAGAAGTGGTGTTTCAGCCACCGAGTTGGAGGAAGAGGAAGGGGTCAAGAGATTACAACTGTCGTAGAGATGAGAGGGTCTAGTGAACACTAAGGGAACAACATACCTGAAGTACCAGATTGACTGTGGCACTGAGTAGGGGAGAAGAGTTCTTGAGATAAAACTGAAAAGGAAAGTTATGCCAAAACTGGAGAGGTCATTGGGTTTAAACTAAGGAAATTCAGTTTATGGGGGAATCATTACATAGTTTTAACTCCAGGAATGCATCTTAAAGGATCATTTAATAATTTCATAATGGTCCTTTGGGATGATGCATCTCACTTGTGCCGCATCAGATGAATTAGAAACCAGCCAGGCTCGGTGGCTCAGCCTGTAATCCCGCGCCTTTGGGAGGCTGAGGTGAGTGGATTGCCTGAGCCTGCGGGTTCGAGACCCGCCTGGGCAACTTGGCGAGACCTCATCTCTACAATAAATCAAAATGAGCCGGGTGTGGTAGCACGCGCCTGTAGTTCCAGCTACTCGGAAGGCTGAGGCGGAAGGATCGCTGGAGCCCAGCAGGTCGAGGCTGCGGTGACCGGGAGCGGCCACTGCACTCCAGTCTGGGCGACAGAGTGAGACTCCAACTCAAAAAAAAAAAAACCTAGAAACCACAGAGTCTAGAGGTGGGAGATTCATTAGGAAGTCTCTGTGTAGGAGTCTAGCCCTCAAAAGTGAAGGCTAGAAGCAAATCTGGGTTAGTAGAAAAGGTAACCAAAAAGGAGGAATGGGTGAGATAGACACTTGACAGAGCTCGTAGGTCTGCTTCCATATTGAGACATGGTAATACATGAATTAGTGGTTTTACCTTTGAAATCAAACTCTTGGTCGTTTTGCTGCCCAGTTTTTTGCCAAGCTTTTGCTGTCTAATCATTGGTAAGACTGCTTGTCTAACCAGTCTTTAACGTTGATATTAGTTGTCTAAACATTTCAGAGAATTATATGAATGGTACATGGGTCACTAAGCAGTTTGGGTTGCTGAATGTTTACTAGAATAAGTCATGTTTGTCAGTGGCGTTCTTAGTTTTTTTGTTTGTTTTTAGAGTAACCTTTATATATCTGTATGTGTGTTCTTGTCTATGTAGTTGTCTTGATTGGAACTTTGGCAAACTTTTGGTTCTGCGGCCTCATTTCACAGAAAGGAAACCAGAAAGGGGGTAAAGGGAGTTCCACAGAGCTTCACATTAACTCTGGCAGAGCTGGAAGAAAAGAAAATATAACATAAGTTTCCCATTTTGACAGAGCCACTAAGCTATGTTGATAGTTTAAATCTTAAGACTAATTTTTTAA